GGGGGGAGACAACGAAGCGGGGAGAGCGAGAGAGAGGTATGACCCGGTCCACTTAAAGGGAGAGACTCTAGAAGATGTTTCAGAAAAGCCAAAGCTTTGGGGGCGAGTGTGGGGGGATGCTACCGGGGGAGGGAGCTCGAGGGAGGTTAGGGTCCACCTGAAACGGGATGGTAAAGTGAGTCGCGAGGAGCCCAGTCCGGTATAAATGGGAAGCCGGCGATCCAGGACCGGCGCCAGGCAGGGCAGAGTGAGCCGCAGTGGAAGGCGCAGGTCCGGCGGGATCCCTCTGAGCCCGGCGACGGCGGAGGCGGCGGCGGCTATTCCCGGCTGGCAGGCGCGCAGGCGGGAGGTGGTCGTGGACCAGCCCGCTCCAGTGGCCCCATGGGAATCAGACCCCATTGGACAGCCCCCACCCCTCCCCCCACACCTGCCTGTTAACTTGAACTTCTCACAGTTACTGGAGTTAAAGCCACTGCGCCTGGTGCCCGGGAGGAAGGACAGTCTACACGAATCCCTCTGGCTCTTGCTGTAAATCTACCCCGGTAGCCCCACTTCCTCCTTCCTCATCTTCCTCAGTGCCGCCCCGCGAGGGAAGGGGAGATACAAGTCTGAACTTCCACGCCTTAAAATGCAGAGGGCTGGGGAGAGAGGGCAGGGGGTGGGGGACTGGAGGGATTCTCCTGCCAGGTTTAAAAGCGTCTCTGGAAAATTAGCAAAACTGAGTGGTGACGGGGAAGCCAACAGTTTGCGAAGCAGGGAAGCAGGCAGGGCCCGGGTGAGGGAAATGAGCTAGAATTGATAAGGACAGCTCCCGCCTCTGCCGAGTCCACTGAGCTGGTCCTCACCGCGCTCCGCTGCACTTTCCCGGGAGAAGAAAGGGCTTTATCTGCTCCCTCAGACTATTAGCCCAGGAGTTTCTCGGGGCAACACGGATAATCGAAGGGGGTGCCCAGCTTTTGGAGGGCTAAGAATCGCCCACCCGCACGCTTGTCAGGCCCCCTTTTCTACCCTTCCCCCAAACTGGACCAACTGCGTGCGAAACCCAAAGCTTCGGGCACAAGTTGACCTGGAATCTCGGCCGTCGGTCGCCTCTGCGCTCTCGGGGCACCCCCGGGTCCCCACTCCCCCGCCTTTCCCTTCATCCGGCCCGGCATGGACATAAGCCCAAGAGGTGTCTTGGCCTCAGCCGCCACTTTGCCGTCGCTGCTGCCACCTCTGTCGCTGCCAAGAACCTAGCCGGGGTGGTTTTAGGAAAGTGAGGGACGAAGTGTGTGGGCGGTGGCAAGGGGAGTAGCAGGTTGCAGAACGACAGCCCGGACCCTAGACAGGGCCCTTCTGGTGGCGCTCACGGATCCAGCGCCTTCAGACCTTCCCCCCAGGGTCGGGGTCCAGAGGGGCGCGGGGCAGAAGCCAAGCTGAGCACTGACTGTTGTTCTTCGCCCTCCCCTCCCCTCCATCCCCTTCCCCACCCCGGCCACACCCCACCCCCTCCACTACCCTTCTCCCCTCCCTCCCATCCCCCACCCCTGTCTGCCAGGCTGGAGGAGGGTTTAAAGCCAGGTGCGCCGAGTCAGCTCGCCATGTCCAGATCCGGGGACAGGACCTCCACCTTCGACCCCAGCCACAGCGACAACCTGCTGCACGGCCTGAACCTGCTGTGGAGGAAACAGCTGTTTTGCGACGTGACCCTGACGGCCCAGGGCCAGCAGTTCCACTGCCACAAGGCCGTGCTGGCCTCCTGCTCGCAGTACTTCCGATCGCTCTTCTCCAGCCACCCTCCCCTCGGGGGAGGGGTCGGCGGCCAGGACGGCCTGGGGGCCCCCAAGGACCAGCAGCAGCAGCCTCAGCAGCCGCCGCCACAGCAACAGCAGCCGCCGCCACAGGAGGAGCCCGGGACTCCATCCTCCTCCCCCGACGACAAGCTGCTGACCAGTCCCCGGGCCATCAACAACCTGGTGCTGCAGGGCTGCTCGTCCATTGGGCTGCGCCTGGTGCTCGAGTACCTCTACACGGCCAACGTGACCCTGTCCCTGGACACGGTGGAGGAGGTGCTGTCGGTCAGCAAGATCTTGCACATCCCCCAGGTCACCAAGCTCTGCGTGCAGTTCCTCAACGACCAGATCTCGGTGCAGAACTATAAGCAGGTGTGCAAGATCGCAGCCCTGCACGGCCTGGAGGAGACCAAGAAGCTGGCCAACAAGTACCTGGTGGAGGATGTGCTGCTGCTCAACTTCGAGGAGATGCGCGCCCTGCTGGACTCGCTGCCGCCCCCCGTGGAGTCAGAGCTGGCACTCTTCCAGATGTCCGTGCTGTGGCTGGAGCACGACCGCGAGACCCGCATGCAGTATGCGCCCGACCTCATGAAGCGCCTTCGCTTCGCACTCATCCCGGCCCCGGAGCTGGTGGAGCGGGTCCAGTCAGTGGATTTCATGCGCACCGACCCGGTCTGTCAGAA